GCACACTAGCAAGATGGTAATAGATGATTACGCTCTTAGTCGGAGGCCCTATTGATCAAGAGAATTGTTCTCAAAACTCGTAAATAGAGTAAAATATATATAAAAAAAAAAAGATGATAGAAGAGTATATGATGTATGATAGTTGAGCTAGATGATGAAAGCTCAATAAATGACAAGACTGTCTCAGTTTAATACTGAAATGTAGATGTTTTGGCCTGGCCAGTCAAAATATGTGCTTGAAGGTATGATTCTTGAGAGTTGATTAGAAAAGATAGATTAGATATTGATAAGTAATGACGAGAGGTACACAACGAGGCACCTTCCGAAAAAGGGTGCGTGTACATAAAATATTTCCCAGATCGGATAGTAAATAAAGGTTGTGATTGATTGCTCAAAAGAGATAGACATATGTTTGACCTAACTACTGGTCAGTGTCTATGGAGCAAAGCTAGATAAGAACGGGTTTGTTAGAGAAACATTTCACAATGTTTGCAAGTCCGGATATAAGTATAAAAGGGGGAACAAGTCCAGGCAATGTCAAATAATGTTGTCAAAACTGGAAGAATAAATAGTAAAGAATAATAAGTTGATAGAAGGAGAAAATTGCTCAATAGAGATAAACACGAGATTGACCAGATCATTGGTCGATGTTTATGGAGTAAAGCTAAGTAAAAGCGGGTTTGCTTTAGAAATATTTCACAATATTTGCAAGCCAGAATATGAATATAATGAGTGAAATAAGTATATGTGATACACAATAGGGCTGTAAAAAAAAAAAAACTAAGAGAAAAAAAAAAATAATAATTATTTAGGAATAGATAGGAACGACAAATTTGCCCAATAGAGATAGACACATGAGTGACCTAACTACTGGTCAGTGTTTATGGAGCAAAGAATGATAAAACGAGTTTGCTAGAGAAGCATTTCAAAATGTTTGCAAGCTTGAATATCAGAATGAAAGGAAAAACCTGAAACCAGAGTTGACAAAAATCAAAGTACAAAAGTTGTGTAAGTGTAGGTGGTTAACATGAATAAATTTATTCGTGTATTTCTTTTTGTATGTTCGTCAGCTTAAAAAAAAATAATGAATTGGTTCAAGTTGAATTAAACCTTGCAGACGAATGTATTTGGGGACCAAATCCTTAAAGGTGGGGGCAATGTAATGCCTGCTTTTCCCCTTTTTTATAGTAAACCTATGTCTGTATAGTTTCTTGAAATTATTGAGGATAAATGATAGATGTTAGTGAGATGTCTAATGTTGCAAGTAATGTCAGACTTATAATTTGTTATTTTGGCGGTTGTTTCAATGATACGACAGATTTGTGTATGTTTAACTTAGTTTGTTAAGAAGTTTTATTTCACGTACTGATTCCATATTTTCGCGGTAGTTACCTTATTAGAATATTAACTCAAATAAAACTCTTCTAATGATCTACTAATGTATTTAAAATCAAAACCCATCTTTATTGATGAAGATCAATCCATGTTTACAAATGATATCAACATTACGGGAATTTCCCTTGTGTGATCCATGGTTGCCGATTGGTAAACAATATGTAACAAGCTCTGCCATTGGTCAGTCGGAAGTATAAAAGCAAAAGCAACAACAGAACCGACGGATTGTTGGTTTAGTTGGCAAAGTTGGAAAGTATCAAATTTGAATAGAAGCTAAAATGTGTCTCATAATCACAAACAAGCGTTGAAAGTTAACTTTGTTTTTATTGAAGGTTGTCGGTGCCGGTGCTAAATCGGGTTGCCGGTGACGGTGCTAAATACGGTTGCCGGTGACGGTGCTAATTATAATGTAGTTATATAGACGGTGCAAATTAAGGTTGTCGGTGACGGTGCTAAGGTTGTGGGTGACGGTGCTTAATCAGGTTGCCGGTGACGGTGCTAAATACGGTTGCCGGTGACGGTGCTAATTATAATGTAGTTATATAGACGGTGCAAATTAAGGTTGTCGGTGACGGTGCTAAGGTTGTGGTTGACGGTGCTAAATCAGGTTGCCAGTGACGGTGCTAAAGTTGTGGATTACGGTGCTAAGGTTGTGAGTGGTGGTGTTAATTAATATTGCTATTGACAGTGATTAAGTTTGTTAGCGATAGGAATTATTTTATGAATGACGAGACTAAATAATATTGCCGGTGAGGGTGCTAATGTTGTTAGTGATAGTAATAAATAAAGTTGTGGAGGACGGTGCTAAGGTGGTTAATGACAGTCCTAAGTAAGGTTGTTAGTGACGGGGGTAAAATTGTTGCTTTCTATATTTAGTATTTGTTTTAGATGTTTTATGATGATAAGTCGATGTTGAATACTGTGAAATGGTGATAATATCCTTAAATTGGGATTATTGAAAGAGTCCAAATAAAGGACCACTGGGTTACTTAACTGTTGAATTATATATTATTAGCTGGTTATTATCAAAAGTTTGTTTGTATACTGTAAGAGCAACCATTACCGGGGACCCGAACAGACCAGTGACAGAGCCTGCCAGACCCATTCTCTCCGTCGTGGATTATTTTTTATATTAATAAAATATGAAACTTTATTTTATTCAGATATTTTATTTAACAACTGAGAATATATATATAACTACAAATATACGATTTCCCTTTCTGTAACGTGTTTTGGTCCGACGGTAAACAGTGGACGTCGAACCTTACACTTTATAGAACCTTTTACTCTCTTTTTCTTTGTGACCCTGTGTTCTCTGGTGGCCGACTCTAGCACCAGGGAGGCAGCGTTTCAATATAATGACAAGTGCACACCCTATAAAGGTAAATGCACATCATATAATGAAAATGGGTATAACAAGACAGTTTTTGGCGTTCCATGATATAGACAAAGGAAGTAATGTGTAATATGTAATTGTTCTGAAGTGGAGAAAAAAAAACAACCCCAAAAGGTTATTCGCATAATATCACATATATCCCTTTTTACACTAAGTATATATGATTTAATAAAAATGAAGATTGATGGTGTTAAATGTCTGCTGAAGAATATATGTATATCAGAATGATAATATGATGCCAAAAACAAACCTTATTTTGTACTCTAAGTGTAACTCATATTGGAGTTTTATGTATAAAAGAAATGCAAAATAAAGCATGTCATTCATTTGTTTTGAAATGTGTATTTTTTTCGAACATTTTGTTTCCTATTGAACATGTAACTAAACATGTTAAAAAGACACTAAGTACAGATCTGAGCGACTGTAGCTAGTTCAAAGCCAATAACAACTAATAAAAAAAAACATGCATCTAAGACTTAAATATCAATCAGTACACATCCAACATCCAATGGATTTAGTGTAAAGACGTCATAAACAATCAGAGAAAAACTCGACCTTTTGCAATGCCAAGATACAGGTAAAACATCATATAAGGACGTTTTGACATCATATAATGAAGTAAACCGAACCACAACATAAAATGTTACAAGCACATAATGTAATGACACAGCCACATCATATAAAAAATGTTTGCACATAATATAAGGGAAAATGCACATCATATAAGGATATTTGCACATCATACAAGTATATTTGCATATCATATAAGGATATTTGCACATCATGTAAGTATGTTTGCACATCATATAAGTATATTTCATATAAGGATTTATGCACAACATATAAGTATAGTTGCACATCATATAAGTATATTTGCACATCATATAAGGATGTTTGCACATCATATAAGGATATTTGTACATCATATAAAGGTGTTTGCACATCATATAACGACAAGTGCACACCCTATAAAGGTAAATGCACATCATATAATAAAAATGGGTATTACAAGACAGTTTTGGCGTTCCATAATATAGACAAAGGAAGTAATGTGTAATATGTAATTGTTCTGAAGTGGAGAAAAAAAAAACAACCCCAAAAGGTTATTCGCATAATATCACATATATCCCTTTTTACACTAAGTATATATGATTTAATAAAAATGAAGATTGATGGTGTTAAATGTCTGCTGAAGAATATATGTATATCAGGATGATAATATGATGCCAAAAACAAACCTTATTTTGTACTCTAAGTGTAACTCATATTGGAATTTTATGTATAAAAGAAATGCAAAATAAAGCATGTCATTCATTTGTTTTGAAATGTGTATTTTTTTCGAACATTTTGTTTCCTATTGAACATGTTACTAAAACAAATTTTCAATTAATACATAATGTTATCATATTTGACACTCAAACAATATAATACAAAAAACACCTTGCAATGCGAGACAGTATTGAACCAATAATTTAACAATTAATTTGAGTTCTATCTGGAAAAAATATGGATCTATTAAGGGTAAATTTGAACAACTAATATTTCTGACTAAAAGTTTTTAAATGGTAAAGCTTCTAAGCTTCAACACGACGGGTGCTACATGTTGAGCAGGATTTGCTTACCATTCCGGAGCACCTGAGATCACCTCCGGTTTTTTTGTGGGGTTCGTATTGCTCAGCTTTAGATTTCTACGTTTGTGTCTTGTGTACTGTTGTTTGTCTTTTGGTCGTGTTTTCGTTTGGTTTTTTTTTACCATGGCATTGTCATTTTGTTTTCGACTTATGAGTTTGAATATCCCATATATCTTTCGCCTCCCTTTTCTAATTTCTAAGCATACATTTAGAATTCTAATATACATTTTTCTATTTTTAAGATATAGTTTATCAAAGAAAATATATCGTATTTATTGAATAAAGTTATGTTGAAATGTAGAAAGTTCGAACGCTATACACTGCGGGATTGGAAGACAATTACTAGGTTTCAAATTGTCTCAAAGATGCAAAGAACAACGAATTGAGATAATGCTTTTCGTTCTGTAATATAGCACAACAAAAAATACGCTTTATCGTTGTATTTCCTACTGGTCGTTTTTTTTTTAATGAAAACTCGATTATTGTTCGGCAGATAATTGTTTAAGTATGTATATTGTATCTAAGCATCTGCCTGATTCATTAATTATCAGTTTTTGCAATAACTTTATGAAGAGAGATCACTAAATGACCTTTAAATAAAATGCAACAAAAGAAATAAAAAGATGCCAAACAATCGTTTCAGATTACAAGTTTCGAAAACGCTTGTCCATATATTCTAAACACTTCATTGTATGACGACATTAATCTGTCTGTCAAAACTAAGTAACAGTTTCATTATTCGCAATTTTATTTAGCACATTTTATAAACATTTAGCTAGTTCTTCAATTTCGTTTAAAACAAAATCGAGGTCTTCTTTTTTTATTGCTGGGTTTGAGATGGCTATGCGGAAGAAGTTTGGTAGATCTCCGAGAGGCTGATAAGTGACCATAATGGTACCCTTTTCCATCATAAGGGCTTTTAAACTCGGTGCAATCTGTGGACAGAAAAATTGTAAAAAAAAAACAAAAAACGAGAGGATACAAACAGTCATGAATAAATAATACATTTTAAAACAATTTGTAGAAAGACATATAATGATTATCTTTCAACGATTTTTACTTGGGTTTCAAAAGCTACTAGTTTATCACTGGTGAACTCTTTAAAGCAAAAATTATTTCGCAAGTCGTGCCAGTACCAAAGAATCGGACGGTATTGGCGGGCCAAAATGCCTTTAGAAAAACGCGTCACAAAAAAATGTAAGTTTTGACATTTTGCCCTTTTTAATTCACAGACACACATTTTATATAAATATATACACCAAAGACAACGTAATATTTCCGTAATTCACATTTCCACTTACCCTGGATGATCATAACGAATTGGCAAAAAAAATCATGCATATCAGGAAGAGAACATGTTAATGTGATATAGATATTAACGCTGCCTTGTACTAGAACGACACACTGAGCCGGATTGTTCGCAAGATAACAGTTTAAAGGAAGATATGTTGCCCTATCCAGATACAATGTATATAATTCTGCATCCAAGCAGACTAGTCTTTGTTCCTAAGTGTCGCTTGCTTAGCGGAGAAGCAGTAAATACCAACTTCAAATGTTCGGTTTGATCCTGTCGGGGTTCGAACCCACGACCTTCATCGTGCACTTGCGGCGAGCAAGCTACCACGAGATCACTGAGGCGGTTCAGTTACACTGAAAGTTTAAATTCAAGGCAAAAACAATACTTGCACGATTACTGAATTTATGCACGTTGTCCTCCTCCAAAGTGGCAGCAACGCAAAAATAACTCTCACTCGTATACCGTGCATTGAAAGCTATCATCGCTAGTGCGTGTCTTTTCATGTTATTTTAAATAACATCCGTTTTCTTGTAGTTGATTCAATATCAAAGTTAAGGCATTCAATTTCAAGTAGACATTGACTCCAACTTCCAAAACGGAATAAGTAGCAGAAGCGTTCATGAATTAATATGCTTACAAGTCGAAAAGAGAGACTTCAGAAGAAATACCTAGTCCGAAAAGGCATGTTCAACAAGAGTAAAAAATAAAAGAAGAATGTGTCTGAGGACACGAATACCCCCGCTCAAGCTTTGCAATTTTTAAAGTTAAAAAGGGGCATAACTCTAGAACTGTAAGTGACTCATTGCCCAAATTCGTAGTCTGTCTGCGTGTTGTGGTTCTTAGCACTGTGTATGAGTTTAATAAAATTTGGATGAGACTAACTTAATTTAGAGTGCGGAAACTAAAACAAAATGCAATTTTCCAAGTTAAAAAGGGGGCATTACTCTAGAACGGTAAATGACTCACTGTCAAAATTCGAACTCTCTGTCTGCAAGTTTTGGTTCGTGTATGAGTTGCATAAAATTTGGATGAGGAGAACTTAAGTTAGAGTGCGGAAACGAAAATGGTACGGATGGACGGAAAGACGAACGGATGTAATGACGGACGGACTAACGGAAGGAAGGACAGACGGGCGGGGGCACACAAATAGATAAGAAAAAAGGGAAAAAGATAGTCACAAAATATGTACATATAATTAAACTAATGACCTTGTTCAGGTGTGTTTTCCTTTCATCGTGTTCGTCTGTAATGACAATACTCGAAGGTATATACCAGAAACATATATTTGGCCCTTCTATCTGAAAAATTAAAATAAAATATTCTTACAAAAAAACTGCAAGATAAAACACTATAGAATCTGGTCTTACAAAGGGCGTTAAGTTCATCAATCATAATCGTGTATTCTCACATTTGCTGAAAATTACATGAGTTAAATAAGATTAGTTTGTCGAAACATCTAATGATGTGCTTTCCCTTTTATTGGAAAACCTTATACATTAATCGTGCATTTGACATGATACTAGTTTCTCTTGAAACTATTTTCCCCGCAAAAAAGACTAGGATACCACAAAAAAAAACGTAGGTAAGACAAGACCAGATACCCATTCCCAAATGAAAAAAAAAAAAAATCAAATGCGTTCTAGGTTGCTGTGTGTCAATTCTGTTGAATGTGAACAACGGGAGGTAACTCTAAAAATTCATGTCAAACATTTTTTTAAAGTTTTTAATTGAGTTATCTTTCCATTCAATCTTAACTGATTCGAATTGCTCTTAAATTAAAAAATTACAAATACAAAAGACAAAACAACAATTTGCTTTTTGTTAAAGAAGGGAAGTAAAATTATACGTTTGGAAAGACCAAAAAGTAAAGATAAATTTACAAATGGGATCTTTATACGCAGACACCGTGTACATTTATGTCTCATTGTGTTTATTTTAAAAGTTTCAAATCACGCACAAAAAGAAGAAGTATAAGGTATCAACATTTCTTTACCTTAAAGAAACCCCAGAAATTGGTAAAGTGACTGACTAACTGACGGTTTCATGCCATTGTGACCGATATACTCATTGTCTGTTCGGCTTACTGTAAACCAACTAATTATCGTTAGCAATTTATTCACACGCGACTTTCTAGAGTACAAAAACACACCACGCTTATATATCGTCAATATGCCAAACTTGGAACTTCACTTAAATGTATAGATACATCAGCATAGTGAGAAAGCTACGAGGATAAATTGCTGTAAATTCTGCTAGAAAACGATAAACGCGATAAAAGTATCCACGAACGTTATTTAGTTTACAGTATTTAATGATTTACTTTTCCATGTGACTTATTAACTGACGTTCCGTTCTTCTGAATCACTGACGTGTCTATGTGCCGAACAATGGAATTTTCTATTTTGTACACAATCACGATTAATTTCTTACCTCTTCCAAAACAAGCTGGAAACGTGGTCTCTTCTTTATTTCACTGACAAGATATTTTGACAATGTGAAATACAAATCAATTTGATCTTTAAAGCCATTATCACCCTAAATTAGAATATTGATTAAAGCGAATAATACAAAAAACATTGTTGTCATAAGAGGAAAATAAACAGACATCAAGGTAAAGCGAGAACAGCCGAAAAATTAATTTTAGCCAATAGTTCAGAAAATATAACACAGAAAACTTAAGCTTGAACACAGAAACACAGACACACACCTACACACACACACAACTGGATATTACTAATAATCAACACATATTGACACCATTTTGTGAAATATAAAGAAAACGCCAAGTACTAAGTCTAATTATTTAAGTGTATTTTTTTTCTCGATATATCTATACTTTAGCACAGACTCGGAGATGTACATAATGATGGCCATTACAATTTACTTTCCTCGTAAATCCACATGTATCGTAACGTATGTGCTAGCACTATGCCAATTTCGCTGTGTGCAAATTGAAATAAAAAAACCTACAGAACTGTTATTCCTTTTATAATGCATAACAAAAAGTATTAATGCTTGAGAGAGCTTGAAAAAATGTGCAAAATTAGAAATAAATAAGAAAACGATAAATTATATGATTGCTCTTGAAGCATTAACGTCAAAATATGTTACCCTCTAAATATCCTTTGGTTGTTTGTCGTTTGAGTGCTGTCTTATTCACGTATAACCCACATCTCCTACGGTTTTAGTTCCATTTGATGTACTTTCAAAACGGTCTATGACAAATCATAACTGAAAAGGTTATTGAGTATAGATTAATTGCTTTTCTTTCCCTCAAGAATATGCTAAGAGGAAGATTAATCGAGAAGAGATATACATGTATCTAGGGACTAACTAATGAAAGAACTGTAATTTTGAAAAGACGACTCAACAATAGTTGAATAAAAGACACAATGGCTAAGCTTTGGATCTCCGGGTTCGTGGTATCTTTTTAACGAACCAACGCTTATCCATGGTATCTAGATTATATATCTTTTTTTCTTTTTTCAGATGCGTCGGGTGTTGGTGGTTAATTTGGTATTTTTTTTTTACGATTTCTGATAACAAAAGTTGTTTATTTTGTAAAAAGGGACAGCCACTGAAAAAAATATCCTAATGATTAAGTATCCTCGAAGATGGCAAAATTTGTTTCCAAAATTGCAATATTTACCTTTGACCTCCACATTAACCATAATTTGAAGACATCATTGTGACGTCCACATTGTATAGACTTGTCACCAGTGTCAAAGCTTGTATCATAATGTTTGTCTTTGTGGTATAGGTATGTTGCACCAGTTTGGTTGACATCAAGTAAAACACCCTAAAATGATTTTCAACGTAAAAATAACATATATCACACATTGGGAATTTGGAAAATAGGTTTTGGTTTTTCTCTCTATTTGCAGTTACCATTATAAAAGTTTAGGCAGTCATGTAATAGCCTTTGTTCAATTCTTTGGTTAACTTTCACATTTCAAGCCTGGGGTAAGGTTCTGTTTAGATTAACTCCGTTATTAAAATTACCAACGAAAGTTTTTCTCGATCCTCGTTCTCAGGGTAAGATTGAACAAGTTTGTATTGTGCGTAATCGATTAGCAGATTGTCCGCATAAAATCAAAGTTATTCTATATCTCCTACATATTATAACTAGAATATGAACAATGTTATAGAGCAGATACACACAAATAAACAAGTAACTAAGAGTTTGAGTATACTCAATTGAAATTTAGCTGGTATTACCTTTTCCTTCAACAAAATAGCTGAACATTGCAAAGGTGTACCCATCATCTTGTGTGGATTCCATGTCATTGAATCAGCCCTTTAGATAAAAATATTCTATCTCAACAATAATATTAATATGCCGGATGTTCAATTTCATTACAATATCACAATTTTTCAACTCGACCTACTTTAATTTATGTTTTATTTGTGTTTTTTAATGTATACATGCTATTAGCCACCGAACTTTAAGCGAACAAAAACTAATCTTATGAACAAGAAACAAATCATTCTTTGTATATACGAAGATGTTATATACATATTTCGTGAACGCTTGTGTAGTTCTTCGCGAATCATTATAAAGAAGCATCTGCATATTTTTAAGCTCTAGCTCAATTTCAAATTAATCAGGAATATAGTTATTGCTGTTTTATTCAACAATCTTCCACAGACAGCTGAATTTGTATTGAAAAAACAGGAATCTCGCAGAAGAAATTAAACTTATTAAAGCTATACAGCAGAACAAAATTGAATATATATGTAAAGAAGTTATCTTAATAAACGATAGTTGATAGCAACCATCCAACAAACACAGGCTATCTCGTGAATGTTATGGCAAGCTTGTCTCATGGACATTAACGCTGACAAGCTTCTGATGTCAGCTGCTACCACCGGCTGCCTTCAGGTTACAATACACCATTAGATTTTATGGGCGCAGCCATTTTATGAACATGGTATTCAGAATTAAGAGTATAGCTAATCCTGATTGGTTGATATGTGCGCCCGTTATTTTTTGTTATTAGAGACTTCGTGCATTCTGCATTATACCAAAGGCCAAATAAATTATTTTCCTTAGCCCTAACGGAACTGAGATGTCTTTTAAACGCTAGGATGAGACACGTATTTTTATGTGCAAAATTGATAGGCATGGGAGATAAGTACAAATTACGCTAAGAAAAGCAACGCGAACCTATATTTTTTGGACCAAAAAATACTGTCCTAATAACTTTTCTTTAATTCTAGCAAGGTTTCGTTTAAAAAATCAACTTTCTAAAGTCTGTATCTCGAAAAAGGCTATCATTGTCGCCTATGGGGAAATTAATTGTTTATTTCAACCTTCACACTAGTGATTTGTGACGTCAAACAAAATTTAACAGATATTGTCTAGTTTGAATAGTCTTCATGGTTAATTGAATTGTATTAAACAAATATTTTGAGTCTAGAAAAACACTAAAATACAACGTATAGCAATATCTTTTTTCTCTGAATTTACATGTAAAACATTAGCACTAAATGAACTGTTTGGCTCCTTCGACAAGAATTTTTTTTTACAGAGTCTACAACAGAACCTGATAAAATAACGTCACAGTACCCAAATTGCACCCATTTAGCAAAAATAGCAGCGGAAATCTTACAAGTTTTCTTAGAGACTAAACCATTCGTATTTTAATGATTTGACATTATGCACGTCTTTCAGCATAGCTAAATATATTTAAATATACATAAAACGTTCATAGTATATATCAACAAATGAAGTATTCACTGGAAAAAGTAAAATCTATGGAAACGTCGCCATACGACGTCCTCAAAAAGTCAACTTTTAAAAATGAGCAATTAAAATATATGTCACAGGCATCCATTTCTTAAAAAGAATAATAGTAAGCATTGACTTTTGTCAAATTGTTCTAAATATTTGAAGAAATAAAACAAAACATCAATTATTCGATTTTTATGGATGTGAATTTAAGCATGGATGCAATTTGGGTACTCCTCATTACAGAATCATGGTTTGTTTGTAGGTCGGTTCAATATGGATTTAAAATTAAATTTGTGGAACTATATAGTAAATAAGGATACATCTTCAAAATAAACACACAATGGAATCTTTTGTTTGGATCATAAATAAACGTAGGTGACAAAACGGTTAAAATAGGTGCTCAAGTTGCATATATAACCAAATTGAAATTAAAACAGACGAACTAGTATTTCCTCTTAAACATTTACAATTTTTTTTAATGGACCTTTCTTGTCGAAATAACATTTAATTTCTTAAAAATTAATTTTATCAATAAAGAAAAGTTCGAGGGAATATAAGAGATAATTAAATGCAAATTTTACCTATGGATTCCTTTCAACAAGTAGCGGTGTTTGTCAGACAATAAAGCACCACCTCCCCAAGCTCCCTGTAATGAAAATTGAATTAAAACAGAAATAAATGCAATTTCGAGTTTAAAAAAAAAAATGTTCATTCTTTATACAGATATTTGCAAAAATGATCAGCGACACAAAGAGTAAATATATGTCCTAACTAGCAAACTGGTGATTTCTTTCACCAAGTGAGCGATACAGGCACAGATGTGCCTCTTGTTTACTCCACTTCTTGTCTGGTTTTCACGACAAAAACATGTATTTGTATTTGTATTTTATTTCTGCTTTGTTTAATTTTAGATTTTAATTTTTAGATAGCATAAAAAACTGCAATAAAACAAAACAGTAGATATTATCATTTCATGGTCAATAACTCCAAAACATAATCAATACAATATCAGAGTAGATAGACCTTGTCATGCTGATCATGTTTGCAGTTTACACTTTAAGCCTAGCTCCTATAATACTTTTCAAAATAACAGAAAAAAAATGCGAAAAATTGGAAAAATGTTTATTCCAGGGGCATTAACTCAAAAAAAGAAGACAAATTTTCCTGCAATTTTCAGGAGTAATACCACCATTGTTTTCCACAATTAGTATTTGTTAAATTGGGACTTTTCAAAAAATTGTGCAGAATTTATCTTTGTTTCAAATAAAGAAATACTTGGCATGACTAAATTTATATCCTGTCCAGTACAACAGTGAAATATTCACATAACATTTCATTGCATATAAGATAATAACCATCACCGGAAGTTAACCAATCAAATGTTCACCTCTTTTTTTTTCCTGTTTATAAAATATAGTAACCATGTCACCTCAAGTTTCCAAAATATTTATAGAAACACTAAAATAAAGAAAAGAATGGTACTTTGAGACACACAAGATATATGTTTATGGCTCACATTTTTTTTTCTTCAATGAAATGCAGGGTTAATTTCCCTCAACTGTAAAATTCAAGGGAATATTTTTCGACCCTTTTTCCTATGAAACCGGATGTGACGTCAATGATTTGGTGGTATTACACATTTCAGGGTAGATACATCTTGTTGTGGTGAACTTTTTTTTCCTATTTACACTTTTAACCGAGCTCTTACAGTTTTCTCAATAACGGCCAACAACTGCTAAAAATTAGAATCAATTAATGTTTCCGTCTAGCTCCTATAGTTTTCACAATTACAGCCAACAACTGCTAAAATTGGAAAAAATCAACATAAAGGGCAATATCTGAGGCAGACAGATTTTTCAATTATTTTTTTTTAGAGTACATAGAAACTGTTGTGATGGACATTTTTATCCGGTCAGTTTTTCCGCAAATTGTTTAAGTTTTAGAGATATAAGCCAAAACTGTAGTTTGACCCCTACATTCTATTTTAAAACATGACAGACATGTGGTTGATCTACCTGGACAAAAATCACAAGCTTTAAAGTATACATGAAGACGACAAACTTTTTCTCAATCAATTGAGAAGTTTCAGAGAAGATTTTGAAAGAAAAATATACTGACTACAGACAACAGACAATAGACGACGGATGACGGACGGACGTGGGATGGACGACGGAAAAAGATGGCAAAAGCTCACATGACCCTTCAGGTCAGGTGAACTATCAAAAGATTTTGAAAACAAACGGTTTCAATATAATATATCAATTATATGTTTGAACCCAAGACATATAATACAAGACATTGGCAACTAGGCGAAATTTTGTGGTATCACGCAGCATTCGTGATCTCATCGATCATGTACGAATTAACATCTTGTTTTCTAAATATTCACAAAAATATTCAAATGATACCAGTTCCCATGTTTTATAACATTATGTATATATCAAAACAAAATAAGGTTTACCAACCATACCAACACCATGCACCTATATATCTGGGATTTCGTTGAATTTTCAATATCTTGATGTCAATCTATTTTCTTTCAATGTTTAAAAAATCTTAATTTTTAAAAGATACGTTTTTCAAACCTTTTTAACCATACACGGACAAATTCTCAAAAATTGAGGAGAAAAAAATAAAAGAGAAGGAATCATATGTACGTGATAAAGTAGTTTGAAAAATAATGTGAAAGCTGTATGATATTAAAATGGAGTTGCTAATCGTTTGTATTGCATGTCTCTATTTAAACGTACGTCTACATGTAGCCACATCCCAAACTCTTCACATACATCGGCAATTTTTTCAACCGGGTCGAAAGATCCCAGAATTGTTGTTCCACATGTCGCATTTACCATCAAAGGAGTTTGTTGGTTTGCAATGGAGAGTTTTATTTTTGAACGCAAGACATCTACCTTCATTTTCCCACTTAAAATACAAAATAGAGTTCATTGAATTTCATATCATAAGGATATTATTGTTTCTTGAAATAATTTGTTGTCCATTATTACTTGTGATTTTGTTTAAACTTTCTTTAAATTAGAATAATTTTTGAATTCAATGAGAATTTAAACAATCAAATACACTAAAGACACCAGAGTAAAATATATATGTTTGCTGAAGCCCGTCTCCGGGTGCGGGATTTTCTCGCTGTATTGAAGACCCATTGGTGGCCTTGGGCTGTTTTCTGCTCCTTGGTCGGGTTGTTGTCTTTTTGACACATTCCCCAATTCCATTCTCAATTTTATTGCTTAATGTTCATCATCTTTGTTGTCAGTATTCCGATATTGACACGAATTACCTTATACTTTTACTACTAATTCACAACTCTTTACATTAACGTATTATATAGTATATCGAAGCTATTACTTTATTTCTCTTCATACGGTTCTCGAATATCCTGTTTAAATAAGTACCATGCGTAAATGCATATTTGTGATAATAGTTTCAGAAAAACTGTTTTGCAGTTTCAAATTTAACCCTGTATAACTTCTTTATTTATGATGAATCTTCTGTCTAGTGGGATTTTGAGCCGCAGGTATCACCAGTCAAGTTCTCGACTTATTAAGTTTCATTATATTATTCGTGTCCTGTAATTAATTTACGGTAATCATAAGATTCATCCTTAGGCACTTTGGGCTTTGTGTTTAGGTCCTACTTTTGTTTTTTCATGCATGAAGTTTTGGCTTCGAACGTACATGATAAGAATTATTTAAGAAATACGTACACATTTTAGGGGATCAATCTCTTTATCGATATATATCTTTAAACTGGATGCCACTAGACGTTAAAGCAACCAACAACCAATCAATCTTTAACCTGGACACCTGTTGTGTTCGTTTATCGCTATAGCACACGGGGCGTTTAGGAGGAATGTCGGACAACGAACTAGTATATCCAACGCAATCATAGGTTTGAACGTTGTTTTCAATTTAGACTTATTTATATTTTTTCGTTTGGGCTTGTATCATAATTGCCTTCGGGTTTATATGATCCGTTCATCCTATTTCGACTCTTCAAAATTCACGAGTCTATCCTAAATTGAGGTAAATTATATGGCCTTCCAAATACCGTTTCGATTCCTAACATCACTGAAGAGATTTTAATTGTCGAAATCCGGATATGATGTACAAATTTTTGCACCTCATGTTTGCGGTATACCATCTTTTCCGCAAGTTTATTGTTTTCTGTTTGGTATTAAATTAATAATAAAGATCCATTTTGTTACATCTTGTGATCCGTTTATTTGTCAATCGGCAATGGCAGTCAGCAGGGTTTAAGAACATCCCTTGTTCGACCTGTTAGTTAATGCGTTTTGTTTAAATATACTTTTTCACTTTTTGGGTCTTTTGGAAAATGTAGTTTGTGCTGTATTTAGACCCCTCTACCAAGAAATTTGTTTTGCATGCACGCGTATAAGAATTGCGCTTTTTATCCAACGCAATCATAGGTTTGAACGTTGTTTTCAATTTAGACTTATATATATATATATATATATCTTACAAGTCAGAGGAATTACACACTCATGATATTGTAAAGAACTGTATTAACATTCCTACGGAAAATAATTTTCTTAAATCTCATTCTACTTTAAATTTATGGCATTTCTGTCCTTTTAATTCGTTGATTTAAGTTAAGTGCTTGCAGGGAGAGGTGAGGAATTCTTACTTTGAATCACAGTCTACTGCGATTACGTTGTCCTGACCAATTCCAAGCAACATGGCAGCTTTATTGATAGAAAAATGACTCTGAAAAATACTGATTAATGAACTTACAACGAAATAATCAATTAATGATGAATAAAGTCACACAATTCTATTTTTGAGGGAGTTATGACAAGAAAAACTGAAATAGAGTGGCTGGACACACTTTACTATATGATATTCATTCTAGATTTCTCCCATTCCCAAATATTAAAGACGTTTTCTGCCTAATTTTAAGCCAACCTTATTGTGCTTATACTTGTTTTAAATGTTTAATGAGTAAGTACAGTAACTGGTACTTTTATGATATGATTTTGATCCAGTTGGCTTTTCTGATGTTTTAATTGTGACCATAAAATTAAGAACTGCAAGCAAAAAACAACTCTTCGTTTCCAGCCTTAAGATTCATTTCAAGCGTTAGTACAAATGACCGGGACGTACTCAAAATGGTTGCTGCTTGAAAAGTAATTCATACTACAAGATGTGTTTTTGGCAGTTTAAACCACTTCCAACTTTTCTAAATCTTTGTATTTAGAACTTGTGTCCACTTTTCTTTCTAATTGGCGTAACTAAAAGGTTTAACCTCAATTTGAGGAACCCAAATGGTTGAAAATTACACAATGTAATGGTGTTTTTTTTTCACCAGTTTTGTGTTGTGAGGGATAAATCTTTATATTTCAACCTAATTGTTGACTTGTTATGAAATTTAAAAATCTGGAATTGCATGGCCTTTTCCATTGCCAAAAAAAAAAAACAACAACATACATTTGAGACAGATTTTCTTATGCAATACATAGATGTCAGGTTAGCGATACAGGCTCCTTGCAATATTTAGTTTTCTATATTTCTCATCTTGTCTTTCCTCGGGGCGTATTTTTTAATGGTAAACATATTTTTGTCTTAAATTGATTATAGTCTAATTAATCAATATAAATAAAACAGAATGTTGGCCAGTGAAGGTAAATTGTCTCCTGATTGATTTTAATCTGATTGCTGAGTTTTATCCTTTCACAGATTGTATCGTGATGGAAAGCTTTAATGGTAATGTAAGTCAAAATACAATCTATGACGTCGTTAAAAAGACATTAACACTAACTGATCATTCACACTTGTGTGTTTTGAAATATAAATAAATTCCTTTACGTCTTTAACCAGTTCGACGCATTGAAAATGTTCAATTCTTTTAATCCTTTAAGTTATTCTAATTAGGAAAAATATGTTTGAGAAAATCGCTTCTTTTAACAATCAAATTTACATGGATATCGTGTGAGTAGAATGAAGACGTACAGTTGTAATCCTTACTCGTTTCTTTGGTAACCTATTTTTATACCTGTTCAGATGTGAAAACAACTATATCTCCTTTACTTGACATCCCTGAATATTTTACTCTTGGAAATCGTTTGTGTCGAGCCGACAACATACCATAAAGGTTAGAGATAGCTCCTCCTAAAATACGTTAGCAATAAGAAAACATTCATAGACGTATCATAGGAATAACAAACTGTAAAACGAAGAAGAAGTTTTTCTTGCTCTTTCTCTCTTTAACAAAAAGATAAAAAGACAAGAAAAAACAGCGTTTTTACTGATTCTATTGAGTACCGCATGATAATCAGATTTGTATTTAGCGGAATCTTAGATCTGCTGTATTAGTTAACACACTTTTCTGATACAACAGGAATGGTCCAACTATTGAGCAGGAAATTCTTACGTTTGCTTGGTATCTATTATAATGATTTTAATTATAATTTTGCAATCCGTAGTTCTCTGTGTAATGTTGTTCAATCTTTTTTTCTGCGTTTTATTTTCTGCAGTATTTTTTTTTCTTATGAGAATTGAATTGTCTGTCTCTTTGCTGCAAATAATTTGTAGTGCCCTCATTCTTACTTTTAAACTGAATACATTTATTCACTTACCTGGAGCAAACATTCCTTCCCCATCATACCAACCAATGTATCCTAACATTTTCGTTAGAACAATATCCTCTATAAGGGTAAATACAGGAGCGACTTCGTACGTGAACCTTAGTTAAAGATAGTAGTTGTAACAATATTGAGGTTTAATGTAACAAAATTTCTTTCAAAGTTTTGATTGTTAGATGGATGATAATATCAGTAAAGTGCAAAGAAAGTTCCTGCAAAATATTTCATCACTCCGAGTAAGTTAATTATACCTTCATTTCTAAGTGTCCTTGACGTATCGACTACGGGTATCAACATCGAAATGTAGTGTTTGTTTCAATAACAATTCAAACAACAACAACAATGATGATTATTGTAACAAAAACGATAATGAATGAATGAATGAATAACTCTATGTATTTGCTTTAAATAATATTCGGTTTTATTTTCAACATACATGTTCGTGTCAGCCACCGACGTTAACATCTCCCCAGCTATACCAACAATATCTAATCCAGTAGATAGCTGGTTAAGAAACCGAGGATGCCCTGTAATGTAATATTTTACATGTGAAAAAGCTATTTATCTCTCAAATAATAAATTACAGACAAAAAACAACTCCTTTAAATGCGATTTTATATCCATGACAATACGTATTTAACTGAATGAATGATAATAAAGATGAGAAATTCGAGGAAAATAACATCTACCTGTCTCCAAACGGGCTTTAACATTGCGCTTAGAACAGTATAGTATAATCAAAGTACTGAAGTACTGAACATCGGATGACCGCAGGTTCTTGTGTATGGTCAAAAGCACATGTCACAGAAACAGATCACATCTCTATACCTGAAACTGAGGTTAATTTACAGAGATTTTTTTTTCTGATACAAGTTCCTGCTTGGATGATGAATAAATGACAGGAAATTCAACCTCACCGTAATAACTATTATATTGTAGTGATACAAATCAGTATACCTTAGACTATTATACTAATATAATAATAGTTCCAGAGAATACACTGGTTTGTTGTTATATATTATATTAATATTACGGTTGCATGTATATATAATTTTCATCTATTTGTATATCATTCTATTCTACTATTATTATAGTGCAGTGCAAGTGCATGGTGGACACTCTTCTGTAAAAAAATCAAAGCCTTAAAGGCTGTAAAAGCAATTGCTGCCATGTTAATGCTTTGTGGACTTTTATTTTTCATCCATATATATAAGAATTAAACCTGACAGGACAGGAGTGTTGACTAGTGAGAAGCAAGACGGTTTTAACTTTATATCAATAAAAGACTTTAGCAGGAAATCATTTTAAATATGTTTTATATTTCACAAGGAGACAACAAGTTTACCAGGCTAAAGTTGGGGTTAATTATACATGTGCTGAAACATATAACTAAAAAAAAATCAATATGGATTGTCCCCTGGTAGTGTTTGTAACTGGGCAATAATTTCCTTTATTGATTTAATTTTAACAATTTTCATAATTAATTTAAATTAACCATTCAGTTAAAACATTTTAACTTTCCAGACGCAAATGTTGAAAAACGGGCAAGAAATAAAATATCTTACAAGACATAAACATGTAAAAAATAAATATATATTTCAGCTTACTAAAAATATTTTCATAATGTTACTTTGACATCATTTCTTAAAACTAAGTCCCAAACATAATTGCTCAGTTGATATGTGTCATCCTCATGCGATACGAGATAACTATAATTCTGATGCAATCCCGAAAAGGGGGGTCATCACAAACAAACATGACATTAAATTGTCATTATACGAACTAGAACAAACAGCTCTATGTTGCTTTGATATTTATCAATTTTCAGGAAACATGTGAAACAAATTTCAGGTCCATTTCATTATAGTGCCTAACAAGATTGTGTGAGGTAGACGAAATTGACCTTAAAACGATCGTATTGTCTTTTGATGTCCAAAAATAGGCAGATCGGACATATAAGGACTTTATCTAATGACTACATAAATTTGGGATTTATTATTATTATAATATTCTAATGAAACTGAAAATTGTATTTCTTTGTTAGGATAAACAACAATTTTACCTGGCGTAGCCGTGCATAAATATTTTTCTGCGAAAAATGGCGTATTTATAGACAATAATAGTGCATTGACTTGACATATCAACGATATAAGGATGAGGCTTAGAAACAGGGAAATGCGAGGCTCTGCCGAGCTTTTTCCCCGTTTCGGGCCGAATCCTTATATCGTTGATATGTCAAGTCAATGCACTATTATTGTCTTTATACTGCAATCTAAAAAAAAACATTTTCATTTGTTGTTTAATGTGTTAATGTTATTATTTGATTTAAATATTGGGAAACTTCCCCCTTTTATAAAAAGGCCTCATATCATGCAGGCGGGGAAATATACATAACAATGAAATGTACATTGCCTGTTGAAACCCGCAGTCGATGGTGAACGAATTTGTTTGAGAATGAACTAAAATATCAACAATAAGCATAAAACCTAATGATTTATAGTTTGCAAACCAAAAGTATTAACAAGTGAAATATGTTTTTTTTCTAAAAATTGCAAAAGAAATAAGTTTGAGTCGTTGCATACATTGGAAACAAGAACAGGTTGAATAGGTCGTATGAATAATTAATTATAATTTCGGCAATTTCTATTTAAATATTCATGAGGAAAAGTGATATCAGGTCAGTGACTGTATATGACATAGAAATATACGGTCAACGCATTTTGACTGCTCAAATAGAACGAGTGCAGTATAAAATGGAATAGAACGTTAATACAGTAAACTTTCTCTTTTTTCTCCGCAATAGGCTATCAAAAATAATTTATCTAATGTGTATGTGGAAATTTATGTGAAAAGATAAAAAGTGGCAATTGTTACCTTTCATACCTTAAGTTTCATTCATATGCCGCTATTATTGTTGTTGTTACCAATTATGTAAATCAATTGTATCTGATTTTATGCCCTTTATGGGCCCTGTAATTTGGAAAATACAAAAAAAAAATCTATTCATTGATAAAACGTAATATGGACTGGTCCAGTGTCCAGTTTGCAGGTCATTTAATTTACTGTACACATTCATGCACGCTCTGATTTAATCGATATACTCGTACGAAAAAGCATGAATAGTTTGAAGGTAATCTAATAATAACTTAATCCAATCAAATTGCATAAGATTCAATAACAATGTCCAGTCCACATCATAATGAGTAATAGGGGTAAACTTGGTAGGGAGAAAATGACAGATATTTCAAGTTAATATTTATGCAATAACGAATTAAAATTTGTCAACCAAAAGTTTTGCTACAATTTCAAAAACATGTCGTTCTGTGTGGGTATAGTTTTCGGATCTTTCATTAGCGTATTTAAGGCTATAAAAAGTTTGGGCTTCAAAAGTTCACACAATTATTGACTTTATACAGAAAATTCGTCCTTGTAAAACATTTAATAGTTCACAAATGATACGCGATTTTAAAGTAAAATTATTTCTTAAAACACTGCAAAAAATTTCATTCATATTGATAAAGTGGTATCGTCATAAAGTGCGTTGTAATGAACAGTGGTATAGCAAACATCGAATTTCCTCACAAAATGTTATCACACACTATAGTAAGGGGAGTCAGTTAAGTTTGTTTATTTTTAGATTACAGGTAATCATTTGACATTACGTATACAACCTGTGTGACCTGTGTAGTGATTTTGATTTTACGATAAATTCATGAATAAATGAACGATAATTTTATGAATGAACATGAGCACCTGACCTCTTTCTTAAACACCAATTAAACATATAAAACCGTATTTAAAAGGAGATAATTCAGTCAAATTTTCAGTACTAAATCAACAACTGAAATGATTCCATTTTTTGATGAAACATCGTACGAACGGAAAACGGAATCGCAGGTATAAAAATGCACTTTTTTCCCTTGTAATGACCCCGCAATAATTTTTATAGATCGGTTGAAATCCCAAAACTAATTTGCATAATGGAAATTTAGGCGATAGCAATACATCGGAATGACCTGAAGGTCATCCTCTGTAAAAAGTACCGGATAAACCAAATATTGATACCCAACACTGTAAGTGAAATCATTGATAGCAATAAAACTACTTTTAATAATAATACTGATTATGTACCCGTTTTAACACAGTATTTTAGAGTTTCTCTACAGTCGCTGAGTACTTCCTCCAAACTCTTTGGGTCCTTGTCAATTATCAAACAATGCTCCATTATCTCTTTCAATTGATGTGGATGATGAAAGTCGAGTACTTTTGAAGTACGTTTGTGTTCCGACTGTAAGTAGTTATCTAACAACCTGACCAGTTCATTTAGGAATCGATTGCGTAACTCTCCAGTTTTTTCTGTTTGCATATCTAAAACACAAACAAGGTCCGATTGTAGACAAACATTCGAAAACATTTACTATATTATATATACCATTTTGCTATATACTGTACTGTATACTATACCCGAAAAAAAAAACCAACAGCACACAAACAAACACGCAAAACAAGATAAGCAACATTTACAAATGAACTAAATTGAAAGGAAAATCAATTCCATTCTAAGACAATGTTAAATAGGACAATGAATACCTGAGATGTTACACTAGTTGTAATATCCAGTTGCCAAAGCTGTTTAAGCGGATAGGGACAAGACAGATTGATTGGTTATAGAAATATGGACTCTTTGACTTCTCCCATCATGCAGTAATAATAGTCTTTTGTCTAAATAAACTCATCATAGATATCAAGATTTAGATTTTTGTACACTTGACGCGCGTTTCGTCTGCAAGTATTAGATACACATTGAGGGTGTTAGCCCGAATGGGTGAATCTAATTTACACCAAGATATTATTGTCAATGTAGAATGATAGTTTTCGATAATATAGGAGGGGGGTCTTTCAGCGATTTGACTATATGTTATTGAAAAGCATGATAAATGCAGGATATCCAATTTCATTTACTGACATCTTGGTGTAAAAGACAATACAGCTTATACTGAATTAACGTTATTATATATATAATAGCATCAGTGAGTATATACAAATGTTGTTATAATTACAAACAAAATTGAATCATCAGCAAAGAATGACAGCTCGTTATATAAATAATGAAATGTGAATATTACATAATTGATAACGAATCTTATCAGCTATAGAAAGATATTTATACCTATATTGTTAATCCCTTTAAAAAAGAATGTTGTTTCCAATAAAATGGTTTTATAAATTCGATGATAATGAGGGATGTCCGTTTTGGTGTCCGGGATGTATAGATATGCAGCCACGCGCAGTTAGAAAATAAGGACGTTAAGCTGATTCCTCAAGTAGGGAGAACCTTCATATTAAATTTATTGTTATTTTCTCGTCCTGAATATGCATAAAGTTTTGCCATTGGACGTTAATTAATTAATCAAAGCAATTACTGTGTTCAAATAGGTAGGTATGAAGTTGTGAAACACCCGCGGAAGTATATTGCTTTATATGAATTTGCTTCCATGTGCTTCTCATGATGAAGAATGTGGAAAAAATCAAGGGTAGTTTGATAATTTGCATACCGGTTATAATGGATTTCATTTAAATTCGTCTTTATGATATCATTGCAAGGAGCAAAAGTAAAATCAAACTAAAAAAAATCCAAAACAGACCACTTTTTGTCCGCATATGCTTAATTTTTTCACAACCACAGGAATTTTTGATCTTTAAATTATTGTATAAAAAAATATCCTATATTTGACAATTTTGTACAATAATTGCACATACAAAATGTGTCCGCATGTGAACAGATATTTTGATTTTCGTACTTTTAAGAGAAAATAGCTTTATGCGATTTTAATGTATAGATGTATGAACAGATTGAAACGAGAATTTAACTTTTTAGATTTTTTTGTATTTTTTAATGAGATCAAACACGGAAAAATCAATCTTTTTAGAAGATTTATTCCCTCTATTATTTATTATTAATTGAATGGAAATCCATTAAATTGTTCATATTATCTATAACAAATTTTGTAGGGCTAGAAAAGGGGTATACATATTAAGATCCTTGAGAAAGGGGAGATAATACGTTGTAAAAAGGCTATGTTAAGAGGCTCACGTAATATGTATCAGCAATTTTGCCGTATGGTAAATACAAATTACTTTGGGTTCCAAACAAAGGACAGTAATAAGAATTGTTAAGGTAGTGCTAGTATATTCCGCCATCTTGGATGATAAAATGACAGAAAACTATCGGTCTAGATCTTTAAGGAAATGTTCAATTTTTGAATGTCATTCATTTGTTAGACTTTTAATCTGAATGAAGAAAACTATGTGTTTTATCATATTTTTGCGACTGTTTTTTTACAAATACAGAATATTGTTTGTTTGATTCAATTTTAACTTTGCCATATAAGGGGAGATAACTCAGATAATGTAACTTCTATACTGGAATGTGTTATGAATTTACTGTGACCTATTTTGTTTTGTAGCAAGTAAACGAGTCCCGCGACCCTAATTTTTCTTTTTATATTTTGAAAGCCTATTATACGGGCTATATTCTTATATTTTATCTTAAAATGATATGGTTTAGTTTTCTTTCTATCACACAAAATTGTGTTTTCCATGAATAATCTTTACAAAATCTGACAATTTTGCACAACATGTAGCTTGAAAAAAAAGCCTCGTGACCTATACTTTTTATGATATATTTGAGAAAGCCATGATATAAACTACATTTTGGCAAAGTATTAAAAAATTCTATGGATTTTAATTTATACCCCCAGCTACCTTTTAAGTGGTATTAAAATGATAATAGCAACGTATGTATCAAACCGAGTTGCCGGACGCTGAATTTTTCGTCATATTTTTTAACCTTTAGGTGTAAAAAGAGAGCGCGATAATGGATTTTATTTAAATCCTAACATGTTAGTCATTACATTAAAAAAACAATTGATAAAAAGTATACAATAAAAAGAAAAGTGTTACGATAAAGCATCACGTTTTACCCTATACTTATCAGAGACAAACAATCATATACAGTGTGCGAATTTAGCAATATATTTTTCTTTACAACGTACAGAAACATTCTTTTTAGAAAATGTGCTAATTCTAACATAAATGACTGTGAGGAAAATGGATCTTACCTTTTAGTTGATACGTCGATATTTATGAATTAGTAATCATATTCTTTGGTCAATACTTCTAAAGAAGTAAGATACGAATATGTTAAAGCTTAATTTCAGCTGCTACCCAATGTGCATGATTTTCAGCAACAAATTGATGCCCCGATATTTTAACTCTATGAATAAGAATTTTATACAATACGCGTGTAGCTATGACTTCATTGCATGTAAGTAAACAAATAAATTCGAATGGTACAGGGAACACGAACACTGTTTATATATAGAGAACCTGTCCAACACACAGCCGAGCATTTGGGGAAGTTGGTCAGCGATATTAAAAAAAATACCCAGAGATGATGACATTAACTTTAACCGAACAATAAACAAAGACGATAGTAACGGAAATCGGGGATAAAAGTAACTCATGATTTAGAACTTGATAGCTTGTTCATTTTCCCTTTATAATCATAATTTTGTGAAATTTTATGAGCACTTGCTTGGTAAAAAATAGGAGGAAGGGGAAAAAAGGTAAAGAATTACAAACAGTGATTCAAGGCAGTGGCGGATTCAGTGGTATAGGGGTTCCGGGGTCGTATACTTACTTTTTCAGGATGTGTTTTTTAAGGCCAAACTTATTTGAAATTTTTCATTTATCAAATTTTATCACCTAACTCATGTTGGGTTGTATTATCTATGTTAATTGTAGATTTTTTTCATATCCATATTGAATGTTTTCAAGTTGGTGAAATAACAACCAATGTTGCTCTTTTCCTACCGAAATAGTAACTTCAGTCAATTCTGATGGGTTGTTATTTTAGTTACTCTATTTCAGGCTTTCAGGCATAATGTGTTTCTGGTCTGTATGCATAAATTTTGGTTATTTCATGTATATCAAATTCTTAAGCCTTATTGTTTCACTGAGTTCTATATAAAAAAAAATTCAAGCGCATTTTGGTATCGTACGTTATTAAACAATCAGCTTAATACGAATGATGGTCCTACAGTCAGCGACTAAATCATCCTATTTTACAAAGGTGTAAGAAATGAATTTCTTAATCAGTCATGAATATCGAGCCAAATGTGTTGATGTTTGATTATTTATACATTGTTTTAAGTAACAATACCTTTTGCAAAGTATTTTTCAAAATCTGTCCAGTCTACATTTTGTTCAAAACTCTTTGGATTGTTCAATCTGTCCCGACTTTCTTTTGATTGGACCAAATTCCCTGCTTCTGTGTTTTCCATAACTGTATTACGAAATCTTTTTTTTACTTTTTTCCATAAATCCGAGGCCATATTCCTGCAAAAAGAAATAATTCATAGGGTCTTTCCCTTCACAAATATTTTGTTGATATTTTTGATATTCTAAAGCCAATAACAACGAATAAAAACCATGTATCTAAGACTAAAATATTAATCAGTACACATCCAACTTCCAATAGATTTAGTATAAGACGACATTAACAGTTAGAGAAAACATGACCTTGTTCAATGCCAAAATATTGATAACACAATCAATATTTATACAGATAAAAACAATATTCATAGATCTAATAACAGTGTTGAATTGGTAACCTTTTAGAATAAGTGTATTAAAATCATCGATAAGTTTACCCAGATCGAATGTAAATTTACAGGCCCGGTAAGCAACATCACTAAAATTATGATGTTCTATTCCGTTTGTAATAAATTTTCTACAGGTACAGCCAAATTCCAAACTAAATCTTTGCGTCTATGGAAGAATTTAATAACGCTTTTAAGTAATTTGTGGTACCGAAATCCTTGGCTTAATAATTTACCAGTAATACATAGATTACGTTCATTGAAATCCAAAACGTCACTCATACACGGGCATAGCCATCGATTTTGGATATGCAAACATGTAAGATGGTGCCAAAGGCTATCTATATGCCGGGGTAGAAAAAATACTTTCGTGTTTATTCGTTTTCACACTTTTATATAATGTTTGTGTGTGCCTTTTCCCTATTGTCTCGTTAAACGACCATTTTCAAATCGAGTTCTACAAATGTATTCAGAATTTACTTATTACGACCATAATTTTGTTTATAAGGATATTTTTTCATATCTATACTACTAAAATAACGAGGTACAATTTGTCAGCAGGGACGTAGTTACCTTCTTAATGAAGTGGAGTCACAAACTAAAGGACGAGGGGTCTGGGGGCCGCCTTAGGCCCCCCGTAGGTCCGGGGCAAAGCCCTGGTCCCCCGGAAGCTTCGCATATATAGCGTTTCAAAACAATCACAACCGTAATAAAACTTGTATATTTTGTTGTGTTTTTTTGGTCATCTATTTGTTTAACTTCGAGTCGAATGAAGACTAAACATTTCTGTTTGCGTTTTTTTATACGCCGTGAGAGCTTTAAAAATCACGGAGATTAATTCCATATGCTAGATTTTGTATTGAGCAAAGTAGATGTATAAAAAACAAACAATAAACATAAACACAATACTATATGTGGAGTTTCTGTTAGCATAAACATCATTGGATACCAAATACTTGGTGGACACATTCTCATATATTTTGCTTAACATATGTATTTAGATGTTTAAAACATTTGTGGGTGAACTCTACAAGAGAGAGAAAACGGAATTTCTATTTTTACGCAGTTAGGAATTCTCAAAGTTGAAATTAATGAACTTTTTCAGAGGGAATGGTACTTTAAATTGACCACTATCTTTTTCATGATCTGAGTTTGTTAATTAACAAATACTTATGCATTCGACCAGTTGTATGGCAATATCTAGATGATAACAGTGAAGATGCGTGTATTAAAAGTTTGGTGTATCTTTCGACCAAAAATCAGCAGTTTAGTGTCCGACTCGGACAGAGGATTCATTATAAAATCGAATGACCAAATAGTCCAGTAAAACGAGTTAGAATTAACAATTTATTTAAATGCTTTTACAATCAACCATTCGTATTACCTGCCCATATATAGAAACGACTTCGAATTACGAATCTATATACAAGATGTTTCTTTTGTAAAATAAATAAAAACGTAATACATGAAAATGTGTATTTTTTTTATAACAGCAGTTCCAGCTTCTCATCTACTAGTATACGGAAACTATTGATTGACTGAATGGTTATTAATGTCCGGTAACAAATATTACATGCACACTAGGACGAGAATCCGTTGACGTGATGTAAAAATGAACTATTCGTGTTGTCAAGACCTACACACTTAGGGTGCATTTTTTTCTAACATAAACGATGCAAACGGCTAAGCGCGTACATGTTTTGATCATTTGTTTCTAACATACGTTTGCAAAGTTTACATAAACTTTGACAGACTATGCACTCGCTAAAGATGCGTCTACAGTTTGTCGTTCATCGTTTGTTAATACAAACGCTACATTTGTTTCTAACTTCAACCTTGATCTGCACGTGTTTTCCCCGCGGTTATTACAAAGATGGATTCTGTCAACAGAAAAGGAGGTATGTATATTATTATTGATTTTTCATTACATTTGTAACATGTGGTTTCTGTGAACATATAAACAACACACAATTAGCAGGCATGACGTAAAAACGACGAATCAAATAATTCAGCTTTAAATATAACTAATATAGGACAATAGTGCTGATTAAAAATTACACCATTCCAGGCCCTTTTGTTTTCCACATAATTAATATTACCAATAATTAAAAAGTACCAGGTCGAATCAATGTGCATGTTGTTTGCGGTTGTAGTTAGAAAACCAGGACGTTTTTAAACAGAAAGATTTTGAAAGCAGAGAAAACTGTGCACCTTATAATCACCACGACTTTATCAGATGACAATACGAATACTTAAACTCCAGGCTAAAATAAGGCGTAGGTACTTCAATTCAGTTACGGGCCCGCGATGTCACGGGTGTGTTCTAGTATTTATGTATAATTTCTATTTATAGATTGTGCTCTTAAACATTGTGTTGACTATTTGGACATTTATAATATTAATCTTGTGTTACCTATGTCTTAACACATCATCACATGATTACCATTATATCTCTTGAAAATATAATAGAAAACCTTATTAGCCTTCATTTTGTTAAAATATAAATTATAAAAAAAATTTAAAGAAAGAAAAAAAAAATTTTTTTTTTAGTTATTGCCCTTTGACCATTGACAGATGTGCAACGCGGGGGGGCATTGGAACTCTTGTAAACGTTACATAAAATTTCGTATGAGGACATACACCAAACTCCCCGGCAGTTCCAGCTCCGATCCGCATACTACTCTACACTAATCACTGCCTTCGGCTTTTTTCGTAATCCGATCTTCAAGCTGTTTGACCCGGATTGACCTTTCGTTGCTACTGAAGCAAATATGGCTGCACATTGATGAAAGGATATATTTTACCAACTACCAGTAAATGTGGACAAACACAAATAAAGTAAGTAAAACAAACTCAATCCAAATAATATTACAAAATCAAAGTTTTTGATATTTCTGTATCGCCACGTCATGGAAACCATTTCTGGCTTGAAAACTCGACCAACTTTGCAAAATAATCTTCGTCACTGGAGAAACATAAAATCATTTCTGCAGTTTGAAAGAAAGTTGGGGCTTGAACTGTTGATAATAATTATTCATCCCTTTAATATACTGGCACCCAATAATCAGCAAATAAAAGTCGTTTGAAGACCACTCACAGTATTCACAATTTATCAACTTTTCAGGCTCAAGCCAGACGCCTAATTTTATCAAACTGGTGTAAAAATATCAGATACATATACAAAATAGAAAAAAATGTTGTCAGGCCTGTCAAATTTTCCAGAGAAGCTGCTCCTTATGGAATTAAAGATATTTTTTAAAAGACAAAATTGGACTCCAGGGGTTTTTGGATTTTTTTATATAAAGGGAAAGAGTTTCCAAATAATGTCAAATCGACACAAGGCCTCAAACAGGTTATTTTAGCAAAATTGACTAAGTTGAGTTAGGGTTTCCAACTAGTATTAAGAATCCTTTTACATACCAATCAGTGAATCTGAACTTCTCAAAAACTCATTTCAGGTGTAATTTCATTGATTATAAAGAAATAAAGCATTTGAAAAATAATATATGTAACACATACATTGTATACTAAAATTGTTATTTACAATGGTCTGGATGGGAGCTATTTTATTTCTGTTTTACAATTTATTACTTTTTTCAAGAATATTTTTTTTGTTCTTCCCCTTTTTTTACCCATTAATGTACATGTATTATCCAGTAAATTTATAACTATACAATTATAAATGTCCACCCATCCCCCCCCCCCCCCTAAAAAAAGGTACAATCTTTATGTTTTTGAGCCCTTTATAAGTTTCTATCTTTAACAAACAAGTTCTGGATAATAGGAAAGAGCTTGAACCAATATCTAAATACTCATGTTGTATTTAATATTTTGTACTGCCCTGAAGCAAAATTCTAGCACAAAAAAAACTAGACCATTTTTGTTTGTTTGTTATCATGTACTCAATTTTATGTCGTTTTAGAATTTAGATGTAGAATGTATAAACCCATCTACATGTATATAAGCCTGATTATACTGATAAGGTATTGCTAAAATAAAATCTTAAATCAAGTTAACGTTCTAATAGCATTTTAATGATTTTTTATGCAGCATTAAGCAATTTACTCAAATTGAAATAAAAAATGGTGCATACAGTATCTGATTTTAAAGACTGTTCCTTACCTTTTAAAATTTATGTTTGTGTAACTTTTAAGTTCCATACATGTAGTTCATATGCATATACACGTAGACAGTTCTTATTACTTCCAACTTCTCTCATAATGAATAGAGAAATATTTTACATGCATATCACTAAAATGTTCACTATACAGGACCCTGAAGATACTATACTTTCAACAATATCATATCTATATATTAAGTTACAAAAACATTTACTGAACCAAAATGAGTGAATTTATTCCTAAAAAAAAATACATGCACTTTTGACTTTAATTCCAGGATGACAATAATCAATTCTAATGTTTTTCTTTTTATCTTACAGACGGTGACACAATAGATAACAGCACAGTGCTCAGATTGAATCAGAATGAATAAAACAAAAAGTTTTTATTAGGTATTGGTTTATTTTTATAAATTTTTTATTTGCATGGATTAATTACTTTGCCAAATTATAAAAAAATACTATTTAATCATCTCATCTCACTGTCACATGGAATTAAAATGATTACTTTCATTGTTCTTAAAAAAATGTTTGTAAATAAGGTGGCTTCTCATTTTGAATAGTTCAATATGTAATATTAATGCTTAATAATAATGTTTAATCTGTAAAAAATGAAAACTGAGTTTGATGAGAAGCCATATTTTTTAACCAAGCAATTAACAATGACAATTTTTTTTATATTTACAAATGTATGTGACACTTATATCAAACACTCAATATCTTTTTATTAATTATGATAGTAAGATATTACAGATCGATGCATGTGGAAGAATTATAAAAAAGAATGCATTCAGTTATTCATTGTCAATTATACTCCCCTCCCCCCTATTTTTCAAACTTTTTATATGTTAAATAATACAGGTCCTTGCATTTCAACACAAAGTTGACTTTATTTTTAGTTATACTCATTTTATTACTTCATTATTACTTTCAGCTTCATCAACCAGAAGAACTTCGCACACAATTATTGATTTAGTTTCCTTGAAGATTTTAACAGTAATTGTTAAAACTTGAAATCAGACAGAATGAAACTTTGAGAAAATTTACATACATGTATATATACAGTGTACATGTAGCTTCAATTTGAATCAATTGATTGGTACACCCTAAGTATATTTTCTATGAAAGTTATAAATCGGTTTGTTTACAAAATTAAGTTTTTACTAGGTATATTTATGTGAATACAGGACCAAATTATATATTAAAACAAATACATGTACTCACAAACGTTTTTCTAAACACTACTTATAGTAATTATGGTGATATTAATTATATGACCAGATTGTGAGATACAACTACATGGTTTATGCTATAAACTGTACGTGAATATACGATGATGTATGATTGCCAATTATATGAGACAACTCTTCCAACAAGAGACCAAATGACAGAAATTTTAAACAACTATAGCCAATAGTAGGTCACCGTATGGCCTTAAACAATGAGCAAAGCCCATACCGCACAGAGAGCTATAAAAGACCCAGAAATGACAAATGTAGAACAATTCAAACGAGAAAACTAACGGCCTAATTTATGTGCAAAATAATCGAAGAAAAACAAATATGTATCACACAAAACGACAACCACTGAATTACAGGCTTCTGACTTGGGACAGGCACATACATACAGAATGTGGCGGGTTAAACATATTTGCTGGCGCCCAACCCTCCCCTAACCTGGGACAGTGGTGTAACAGTACAGCATAAGAACAAACTATAAAAATCAGTCGAAAAAGTCTTAACTCTTCAGATGGATAGTATCATACAAATAGAAATACATTTAACAAAAACACAGAGTGGACATGGCCGGGTACTTGTACATCCATACAACAAAAAGACACTCAGTACAGATCTGAGAGTATTTACTCTAAGCAAACTCAAGCTTAATATGTGAGAAATTACCCTAAATCTGATAGGTTCCACAACTTTTGAACGACAGACTCCAAAAACAAAATCAAAAGGGAACTAAATCCAAATGTTGTGTTAAAATTTCATGAGAAATTGTTCAAAGCAAAGGAGAAGGGGCATTATTGAAGGCCTGTTTTTGGTCCAAGAAAAATAATTGTTGACAACTATTCCAAAAAGGCACATGATGTTTGGAAATGCATAGATATAAGAAATATGAATAATAAACATAAGATTTTTAGCTCACCTGGCCCAAAGGGCCAAGTGAGCTTTTCTCATCACTTGGCGTCCGGCGTCCGTCGTCGTCGTTAACTTTTTACATTTTGAACTTCTTCTAGAGAACCACTGAATGGAATGAATCCAAACATGGCATGAATGTTTCTTATGAGGTGCTGACCAAGTGTTGTTACTTTGTAGCCGATCCATCATCCAAGATGGCCGCCAGCGGGGGACTTAGTTTAACATAGGGCCCTATGGGAAATACATACAAATGTCTTCCTTTAGAGAACCAATGAATGAAATGAAACCAAACATAGCATGAATGGTCCTTATGAGGTGCTGACCAAGTGTTGTTACTTTGCAGCCAATCCATCATCCAAAATGGCCGCCAGCGGGGGACTTAGTTTAACATAGGACCCTATGGGAAATACATACAAATGTCTTCTCTTAGAGAACCACTGAATGGAATTAAACAAAACATGGCATGAATGTTCAATATGAAGTGCTGACCAAGTGTTGTTACTTTGCAGTCGGTCCATCATCCAAGATGGCCGCCAGCGTGGGACTTAGTTTAACATAGGACCCTATGGGAAATACATACAAATGTCTTCTTTTAGAAAACCACTGAATGGAATGAAACGAAACATGGCATGAATGTTCCTTATGAGGTGCTGACCAAGTGTTTTTACTTTGCAGCCAATCCATCATCCAAAATGGCCGCCAGCGGGGGACTTAGTTTAATATAGGACCCTATGGAAAATACATACAAATGTCTTCTTTTAGAGTACCACTGAATGGAATGAAACCAAACATGGCATGAATATTCCTTATGAGGTGCTGACCAAGTGTTGCTACTTAGTTGCCGATTTACTGTTCAAGATGGCCACCAGGATATTTTATTAAATAACGGGACCAATGTTAAACCAAATTTGGCTTCAATCATTATTTGGGTATCTGTTATGATTTTTATCTATCTTTACATGATTTCTAAAACCAAAGTAGAGTCAGGTGAGAAACACAGGCTTTTGAGAGCCTCTAGTTATCTGATGATGTCACAATTACGTCATTGTATATAAAGTTGTCATGAAAACGAGGACAAATGTAGAATTTATGCAGTTTTCCATTGTTATTTCCATTATTGAAACATCAAGCGCAGTCAATAAACAACAAAATAATTTAAGAAAACCTTTGTTATAACTATTGACATACATGACATAATCTCACTAAATATAAAATTGTTTCTTGGATGAGCACATACTTTGCCAATCTTAAATGTACTTAAAAATTTTACGAAAAACAAGGAAATCAAGAAATTTTACAAAATATACAAATTTCGTCAAAGTTCGTTGCTATTATACTAGTTAAATGTTAAAACTAGAGGCTCTCAAGAGCCTGTGTTGCTCACCTGTATCTACTGTGGTTTTGGAAATCATGTAAAATAAGGTTTAAATCATATTAAATAGTATGAGATATCCTAATAATGATTGAGGCCAAGTTTGGATTAATTTGGTCCAGTAGTTAAATTAAAAGCAGGTCATCCCACTAGTAACTAGACTTACAATAGTTACTGAAGACCCCTTATTATTTAAATTAGTTTTCAATTGTGACCATTTAAAATTGTTTTTTTTACAATTTTCCCTTAGACTTGTATAGTAAATCCCTATGTTCTATTTTTAGCCATGGCGGCCATGTTGGTTGGATGGCAGGGTCATCGGATATATTTTTCAATCAAGATACCCTTTTCAAAATTGTGGCTAAGTTTAATTCTATTTGGCTCAGTAGATTAAGTGTAGAAGATTTTTGTAAAAGATTGCAAAAATTTACGAAAAAAATTGTTAAATATTGACTATAAATGGCAATAACTCCTTAAGGGGTCAATTGAAAATTTTGGTCATGTTGACTTATTTGTAGATCTTACTTTGCTGAACATTATTGCTGTTTACAGTTTATATCTATCTATAATAATATTCAAGATAATAACCAAAAACTGCAAAATTTCCTTAAAATTACCAATTCAGGGGCAGCAACCCAACAACAGGTTGTCTGATTCGACTAAAAATTTCAGGGCAGATATATCTTAACCTGATGAACATTTTTATCCTTGTCAGATTTGCTCTAAATGCTTTAGTTTGAGAGATATGAGCCAAAAACTGCATTTTACCCCTATGTTCTATTTTTAGCCATGTCGGCCATGTTGGTTGGCAGGCGGGGTCATCAGATACATTTTTTAAACTAGATGCCCTTATGATGATTGTGGCCAAGTTTGGCCCAGTAGTTTCAGAGGAGAAGATTTTTGTAAACGTTAACGACGACGGACGCCAAGTGATGAGAAAAGCTCACTTTGCCCTGTGGGCCAGGTGAGCTAAAAAAGCCAATATTTTCTGAATACCTTGTACCTTAGTCTAGTTTGGACAAATTTTAAAATATTTAGGGTAACTTTTTAATTTGAAGTAATATTTGGGCCAAATAAGAACCTTTTAACCCCTACTCCTTTGAGATATTGAACAAAGTGTTGACATTTGAATGGATGGATGGGAAAACAATGGCATACCATATAACATCCCTTACCTACATCAAAACCAGAAGTTACAAAGTAAAAAAAAATGTGTTATTATATTTTCAGATCACAATGATGTCAACCTGATCATTGGAAGATTATCAAGTTACATGAGAATCATTGAAAGCCTGTAGATTATATACACAAATGGAATACTAGAAGACTCACTTTTTCAAAAAACTTTCAGACAAGAAAGTGACTAATGCACTCTCAAACAAGGATCATTCATGTTTGAATGAGTGAATTTGAGTGCATACCAGTTGCGCATGAAACTTTGTGTGCATTTTTTAATATTAATTTCCATTTTATTAATTGTTTAGAAAAAAATGTATGTCTTCATAATTTTATCATGAACATACTGTTGTTAATAATTAAAAAAGAAATAAAGAATAATTTTTTCTCAGTTTTTGCCAAGTAGTATGAAAATAAAACTCTAATTTAACTTTTTTCCAAAGATTTAAGCATATGAATACAAAGAAATGTGGGGTATAGGTCCATTGGACAAGCATTCCAACTGTAACAGCCGCTATGTTCCGTCAGTTACTTTGTTCCGGCGGAACTTTTCAACCAGTTATTTTGTTCCGATGGAACTTTCCAACTAGTTGTTTTATTCCGAGTGCAGTCGAAAAGTTCCGGAAAAAAGTAGATAGTTGAAAATTCCTGGAACAATGTATCTAGTTGAATAGTTCTGGCAGACGGAACAACTAGTTACATCGTTCCGAATATACCATATTTCGTCCTTTTTGTAGAAAGAGGAGGAAGAATGAGTATCAGTATATATAAGAGCAAATCATTAATTTACAAGAATACCCAACGCACTAAAAGGGTTTTCTTTGGGGACAAATATGCAAAATTTAAGTTGTATTTCATAGCTCACATAAAACGGAATAAGTTGCATTATCATGCAAATTAAGTATTCATAGTACCCTCAAGAGAGGGAAGAATACCCCCCTCCTCATGTGGTTCTTTGCATCAATTGTCCAAATGGAACTTTGTGACTGGTTGATAAGTTCCGTTGGAACTTTTGGGCTAGTTTGTTAGTTCCGGTTTTGACTTATTTGCCAAAGAGGAACTTTGTGGCTAGTTGATAAGTTCCTTTTGACTTTTGTAATCAGTATCTTGGTTTCCCTTTGAAAGGTTCAAATATAATATGTTGCGCTTTTACTTTGCATCAATTCTCCAAATGGAACTTTCTGCCTGGTTGATAAGTTTCGTTGGAACTTTTGGGCTAGTTGGTTAGTTCCGGTTTTGACTAATTTCCAAAAAGGAACTTTCTAACTAGTTGATATGATCCGTTGGAACATTTCAACTAGTCATTTTGTTCCGGTGGAACTTTTAAACCAGAGGAAGAACAAAGTAACTAGTTAATAAGTTCCTTCGGAACTTTT